CTTGACCGCCGTTTTGGAAGGTTTCTATTTTTATAATATATCTTCCCGGATTCCTTGGTCAATCATTTGCAATCAATCCTTCAGCGTATCAGGCTCATTTAATGTGCATTAAATGCCTTCCTTTCATGCACAGTCTTCTAGCCGTTGGATGTTTTTACCCGTTGAACTCATAGCTGTTGGATGTTGCTTGAAATCTTCTAAGTGTTAGTCGGGCTCTGATCAGGCTCTTCTGATGTGTTGGATTCTGATGGTCTTGTGATGAGTTGAGTTCTGATGGCTTTCTGATCTTGGATAGAGTTCTAACTCTGACTCTGATATGTCCGCTGATGAGTACCTTTGATTTGTAGTTCTCATCGGTTATCAGATGTCCAAGTTTATCAGCTACTCTCATGGTGCAACTCTGATGGACTTCTGCTAAGAGAACTCTGATGGAGGAGTTCTCATAGAGCAAGTCTGGTCGAGCAGTTCTGATGCACTTCTGATCTGATCAATAATAGAGCAACTCTGATCGTCGACTACACTAATACTTACAATTGAAAATTCTAATACATAAAATCTAATTTGGGGGTACTTTAAAGTTCTAATCCTATAGCATCATCAAAATCTAAATACATTTATTCCTTACAGTGGTGCCTCCCAACTTATAAGGTATAGTGAACATGCCCGGGTCATTATATTTCTTTAAGCATTTCTCTTGAAAAACTGCTTAAACACGTTGACTAACATGTACTTTTTGTTTTCCATCGAGTCTATGTTTCCTTTTGATTGTACATAGCTCATTCAAAAATTTAACCTGTTACTCTGCAGTCCCCAAGTCGAGGTAGATTCTTGTGGAGCACCCTTCACAGTTCACTACGGCAGTGCAGAGCCCGACTACTGAGCGGTGGATGGACATGAGGGGTTGCACCACATCGTGGTGCCAACAGGTTAGGCGGTTAAACCTTGAATCAAAGAGTGGTGCTGATCTACCATAAGACCAATAGCCATTTTTAATATCGTGTGCCCGACGATACCTTATAAGCTCTAAACTAGCAAAGACTGTAATGGTGCACTAATATGCAAAGATTCTAACTTTTGCTCTATGAATGCCATTAAGTGGCGCATACCTTTAAATTCTTGAGTCCCCATAGGCAACACATGATCTTCATAAACCTTATCAGCACAGAAGTGAAGGATGAACCTCACATCCTCTTTGAGTGGACAGAGAACATGAGTCAAAACTTTGATTGCTCTAGGCATCGCCGGAAGCTCAAAACATGTCTCTAAACAAAGAGTTGGAGCAAGACAATACTCAAATTCCACTGCAGGAAAATCTTTTACTTCCTAACAAGTATCATGAAAATTCACAACATCTCCTCTAACTCTGTATCACTCCCCAAGTGAGCATCCCAACTCTCATTAATATTGTTCTCATCAATGTCTTCTTGGATGATGTTGTCACTCTCCACACAAAAAGGAATATCATCATAAAGGAGTGAATCAAATAAATCCAAATCAGAAACCACGTAAGAGTGGATCAGTGCATGTGTACAAGAGGGGTAATCTTGCTTGTGGGGCGAGACTTCTTCATTATGGACATCATCTACCTTGCCCCCACTCTCTGAAGCTTGTGATCATCTTCTTCCAACTCATCATCAATACTCAAACCTACTACAGTAACACCATCATCATGACTGCTATGTTCCATGCCCTCACCAGGTGTTGAGACTAATTATAAACAAACGGCTGGAGAGTTTCTATACGAAAATCCCAATGAATTGTGTCTCCATCGATTTCAACTTGTACTGCTTGAAGCTTTTGCATTAATTGTGTGCATTCTTGGTACACAGACTCGAGACTAATCTCTTTTTGTTGAAATTCAAAGAGAGGCGAAATTTCAGAAGCATCTGAAACTATATCATCCATCATATTCCCACCTTCGCAGTCTGACTCAGTCCCATAATCATCCCTCTTGGTCTCCTCAGTTTGGGCTGCTGCCGGATGACCCACCATGCTGATTAGATTCTGCATTTGGGTTGTGACCTACATGAGTGTCTCGTCCAAATCAGACAGCTTCTCTGAAATTGTCTCCTCCAATTGATTATGTCGCTAATAACTCGGCAAGGATGTAGGAATGGCTAAAACATTTGTGTTCCTAAATAGTAAGGATGAAGAAGTGGGGTCATATGCAGTTGCCCGGTAAGGATGGTCATATGGAGGAACAGGGCAAAGACATGAATGATGACCTCCTCCACAGAAGGAACAAATGATATTCTTAGGAAAAGTAATCAGTCAATTCCTCAGGAGTTTTAGTCTGGATAAGGTATTCAAGAATGGAGCCCGGTCTTGCCCTAGGATATTGTGAATGGAGCCTAGTCTTGCTTTAGGAGGGTAAGAATAAGAAGACTTAAAATTTTGTGGTGGGGAAGGGTGATATTTGTGAGATGTGTAATGAGGATATGGTGTATATGGTGAAAATTCCATGGAAGGTTGAGGGTGAGGTGTTCCTCCATGAATCGAGATGAACGGGTTCATCTCATCCTACAAAAAACCTAAAACAAGTCGTTGAAATTAATTAACCCTTAAAACCGACACCGTCCACGGCAACGGCGCCAAAAACTAATGTGAGTTTTCTCGCACTAAAAATGTAGTAATATAGTGGCGAAAGTACTAGTATTGTCTCCACAGGGACGGACAAAAGTGGAATAAGAATTAACTAAATTCAACAATAATACTAAAAATAAAATAAAATACAATGGTTCGAGATTTGATTGATGGGAAACTTAAAATGCAATTAAATGATTAAAAACTTGGTTTCTCTCTAATTAATGATGAATGAAACAGAGATTGATTCCGGGGTAACCAGATTTTAGACAGATCAAGGTTAATTGCACGAATTTAATTTAATTGGACCTAGCTAATCATTATTAAGTTCTTACCGCTCTACCGGTGTAGAGTACAATAATTTAGGGGATCAGGTTGATCTCATGCAACAGGAGGATCCTAAATGATTGTCAAGACGAGCGAACTTACGGCCTTTTAATTGCTACTAATCTCTTAGCGAGTGATTAAGTGTGTGAAGGTGTCTTAGAATAAACTAGATTTCTCTTAATTTATTCTACAAGCAATTGTAATTCTAGCGGTCATTCTAGGTTACAAAAGATATCAATTAAATTATTCAAATACAAATTAAACGGCATTCATGCAATTAATCCATCAAGAAACTAGTCATACATCATGATTAACCTCTTCATCAATCCCAAATCCCTAATTAAACTACTCACAACTCATAATTGAAGAATCAACAGAATTTGAATGAATCGAAACAATTGTCATTAATTAAAAAGATAGAACTTAAAAATAATCTCAGAGTCTTGAACAAAACAGCAGAAAGCAACGTAAAAACTCGTCCCTAGGCCTCTCTTTAAATTCCATAACCCCAAAATAGGGTTATGGAGGCCTAATTTATAGAAACGGCTATATTCGGGCGAAAATGGGATTTCCGGAGGTAGACACGGTGTTAGGCATGATCGTGCCTCACTCCGTGCCTCCGGAGGAATCCCGCATCTCACTTCCAGGGACGGTTGTACCTCCCTGGCAAGCACGATCGTGCCTAGCCTCCAATAGCTAGGTAGTAGGTACGCACTTCTTCTACAGGCACAACCGTGCCTAGCTATTTTCTTTCCTGAATTTGACAATGCTTCCTTACAAAAGTTGTAGATAATGAAGTCATCTATCCACCACAACTTGCAAAACTGAATTTGAATCATCCAATCAATAGATATGAATAGAATGGTGGAAGATCGCATTTTGAAATCACAATAATGATAATCTGACTTCTTTGTCTGTTTTCACCTTCCTGCTCTCAGATTCTCGCAATGGTGTCTTCATATAATTTGTAGCCCTTGAAGTTGGCTTTCATATGGAATTTGGATCGTGTCTTTTGGATGTTTCTACAAAATGATATGCTTGAATGATTGACAGAACGTCATCTTGATCGCCTATTTCAAGCTTTATTCATCTTGTTTTGATCATATAGCCAATCCTAGAGCTCTTTAATCATCATATCCAATCGTTAACCTTCCTGTGAGCTCTAAAGATCTCAATTATCAATTCACTCTCAAATGCTACTCAAATTGTCCCGATTGCTTCTCAAACGCCGGTGCTGAGCTCAAATTCCGTGATTTTGACTTCAACAATACAAAACTCAGACCAATGCCCGATAAAATATGACGTGAGCTAAAAATGAGACTTATAACACCTTAAAGCTAGGAAAACCTTCAGACGCCGATCTCAACACGCATCAAATGCGTGTCAAAATACGGACTTATCAATAAGCAAGGCCTTTAATGAGCAATAAATTAGATATTCATCCATTAAAAACAATCATGGCCCTCACCGCAACTCATACGATGTTCGTCCTACTTTGAGGCTCATCCCATCATCATCTATAATATCACACTACTTGCACCAATGCTTGAAAACAAGTGACAACATTGTTAATTAGCCAATACAACATAAAATTTTGCTCGAGGCTGACCAGAACGGTTCAAGCTATGGTGGATTTCCTAATGGATTGCACAGCTCGACCAAACAATCATACATGAGATGGAGCTAGCTAGTAGTTTATACTACGCATTAGACATTTTTACAGCAAAATAACTCGAACAAATGTCATAGTTGAAACTCAATGGTGATGAGATGGGCATTGAGACAAGAGGGAACAAGATCCCTTATTTGGATCCGCAAACACCAACTGAGAGGATTGCCGAACCCTCTCGCTGTACGTCCTCAACACATTATTAACTAGAGTTGAATTGAAAAACAAAACATCAGATCAGTAAAGATGGAATTTGTATTTTAGGGAAAAAATCATGGTGGAACTGGCAGACATACGGAGTGATAAATGCAATACGGAGTACATACGCTATTGATGCATACATACATACATACATCAAGCGCGCAGCATGCATACACAGAGGGCTATAAATTCCGGACAAGCTTGGCAAAAAGTTACTTGCAGCGCGCAGATATTTTAGAGGTGAATGCTTTTATAGGATCGGAAATACATCCGGCCGGCGGCGGGCCGGTCAGCAACCACAAAGGAATACATACATACATACACACAGAGGACTATATATACATACAAATAAATCCGGCCACGAGCTGAGCTGAGCTGAGCTAGAGGATTGGTTGGGGTGGGACCGGATATGCCGAGGGCGGACAGAGATGCTCTGGCAGTAGGGCGGGTTGTAGGGGATGTTCTGGAGCCCTTTACCAGGTCCGTAAACCTTAGAGTGACCTACGGCGATCGAGATGTCACCAACGGCTGCGAGTTCCGGCCATCTCTAGTTGTTAGCCCGCCTAGGGTTGAGGTTGGCGGTCAAGATCTTCGCACCTTCTATACTCTTGTAAGCCCAATTCTACCCTCTACCCTATCTATCTACTCCCTTATTCCATGGATCACATGTTCGATTTGCTGCCTTAATTTACCCATTTTTCAAGAAATACTCCATTCTACTACTTTCAACTTTTATTTTGGAGACTTTTTCTATACTCTATTGATCACCCCTAAACCCATCTCCAATGCTAAAATATGTACAGTGCATATATAGTATGAGAGATAGTCACATAAATATTCTGAGTAGAAAATAAATATATATGACATTTGACATGAGAGATAACAAATATTAATAAGGTCATATACAATTATAATTGAAAGGTTTTATACAATTTTAATAAGTTTTTTCTACAATGTCAAGAAGGTCATCTATATGTTGACATTTTGATTGACTTCGCAAATTATTTGAATAAGGAAAAAAAAAATTTATTTGCTAATAATTATGCGACTATCTCCCATACCACATATGCACTGTGCATATTTTAGCATTGGACATGCTCTAATCACCGTCAAATTATCATCCTTTCATATTAAATAAATAAAAACACACCATTACAGTTACCGTGATTACCCCAAAATAAATCACTACCCCAAAATAGCTCACATTACCATGCATTCCTTTTATACTTTTATTTTATTAAATATATATGGAAAAAAATCTGAAATACGAGGAAAAACATCAAGAGTATTAAAATTTAAAAATAGAAGTCATTGTCCTTTGCAATCAAGATCATTTGGAGCTCTTTCCAGTGAAATCTTTTATGCAATTTCATTTTTTCATCAAATTGATTATATATATATATATAATCAATGTAGTGTATGAAATGAAGGTTATATGGTCAAATACGCGTATCGGTTCATGAATATGGGTAACGGAAGTATCTGTATTTTTAAAAATAAGCCTATGCCTTTATTAAATTACAAATACGGACCCAACATGTACGGAACGCGTATCAGTGAGTATCGATATCGAATATACACCGGAATGAAGTATTGGTGCACCATAACTTATAGCATGGTGAGAATTTTTTGAAGCATGGATGGTATTTTAAATGAGAATTTATTACGGACCATACATCCCATATGCAACAATAACACGCCAACCATGCCAATCCCGAATGCTCTAGAATGCTCCAGATTTTGTCCCAACTAGACCAAATTTGGTACCAACCGAAATTGAGTTTAAGGGTATGAATCATACTCTATATCCATTCCCAATTAAATTTTATATGTTGACATTCAGGGTCAACATTCATTAAATTTGACCATTAACCGTCCAAAATCATACTCCCTATTAACAACTGAGCAGTTTTCAAACGCCTGCTGTGTATGGGTAGGGGAAATGATTAAAATAAATCAGTCATATGTTAACATTCGTTATAAAATAAACAAAATGAAAATTTATTTCGTATAATTATTTCAACTATATGCCACATTTTGGTATGCATGATTGGTTGGGGGAAATTTGACTTTGTACTCCATATTTTAGGTAATATTTGACTTTACACTATATTTTCAAAATCGTTAATAAGTGCACAAATGTAGAATCATTTGATTTTACATTCTACCCGTCACAATTTTTGAGTTGATGGGATGCATGTATTAATGATTTTAAAAATTCACCCTTTATTTGGTTATAGACAATCATTGTCGCAAAAAAAAATCAGTAGTCTTTACAGATGACCAATGGGAAACACTACAGTTTGTTGATGAATTATGAAAATACAATTGGTAAGTGTATCAATTAAATGTATGGAAATAGTATTAAAATATGATAATTCCATTTATTCTAATTTTTTATCATATTTTTAAATGCAATACAGAGTATCATATGCTTAAAAATTGATGTAAATAGTCACAATATTTTTCAATAACATTACTAAAATGAAATTTATTTATTAAACTATGATTAAATTTACTATACATATAACATCATGGTCATTTAAGTATAAGTATGAACATAAATTACTACGAATATTGTTACTATTATGGTTACTTCACTTCAAATTCCACTTTTTTTCAAACAATCTTTATTTTTATCATAAATATGCAATTATTTTAAATGTTAATTACTTAAATATTTCATTAAAAAAAATCATCCTCAAAAAACAAAATAATCCCCAAACTCCCTTTGTATTATAAATAATCTTGCACATAGTTCGATCAAACAACAAATTTAAGGGCACATTTGGTAATGTTAAATTTGATGGATCTTTGGAAATTGATGAAATTCTCACAAAAATATTCAAAATATATTTTATTAAGAAAAGGAAAAATAAAACTACATGAAAAAAAATAGTTAAAATGATCCTTTATAGTAATTTCATAGAAAAGTAACTTAGCGCTTGAAATTAAAAATTACATATTTAATAATCAAGTTACTACCAAAATGGAGATTATCAGATGGATTCTCAAAACCACGTAATTTATTGTTCCTATTAAACGTACAAATAAAAGTGTCAAGGTACCTAAGTTATACTTAAATTCTATACATTTTTTTAATATGACAATTAAATTGTTTTTCCAATATATTAGGTACATGCTAATTATAGGGGAAATTCATGACACATAAGTAAAAGCAAATTGAAATTTTAAAATAAATGTACTGCATTTTCTCCCAAGTATACATCATTCTTAAAAAATTATTGTCATATTTCTTAAAAAACTACTCATATATATTTAGGAAACACGTAGTAAAACATAGTGTCTTATTTTGAAATTTCAAAACATTTTTACTAGACATTTAGGACAATTTCTTTTAATCATAATAAAGGAAACTTGGATGCATTTTATGAGGTTAATGTGCCGAATTTATATGTCATAAGGGTTCCTGCATTTAATAAAATGAGCAATATTTTTAGGTAATGATGAAACATGGACACGACAAATAAAATGAATACAAATTGTAAAATGTACCCAGTAGCAAATAATTTTGTAAAAGGCAGAGAAAAATAACAAAACGAAATAGTTTAGAAAACATATTGATTGTAAGAAGGAAAACAAATCAATAAGTTTAGTTGATGAAAAATAAGTGTAACAAATTTGGAGAACGTACCAACAAGATTCAGAGAACCGTTAAGATTTAGCCCGTTTGGTAACACCAAAATCGGCTGTTTTGGCTGATTCTGCTGAAATTTATGATATTCTGGCTGGAGTGGCTGTTTTGGCTGATTCTGCTGATTTAAGAAAAAAATATTTTAAAAATATATTTTATTAATAAATTAAAGAAAAAATTATATGTAAAAATAGCTAAAATGGTCCTCTACAGTAACTTCAGCCAATACAGCCAGAAAAGTAACTCCAACCTTACTTTTTCGGCTTATTACACAATTCAGTGCGCGAAAGTAAAAGTTACGTGTTTGGTGAACAAGCTGGCTGATAAGCCTTGTTGAGTTTAATCCAACACGATATAGTAAATATATGTATAAATGTGTACGAACAAACTATTTTTACGTGGAAACCCGGAAAGGGAGAAAACCACGAGACTTTTTAGGCTAATGTCCAAGCCCTCTCTTTCTCATTAGGACTCTCCTCACCATTACATTGTACAATTTGAGCTCATATTAATGGAGTATTGTAAGCTAGCTAGAGAGAGAAGAAGAATAAGCTAAGGAAGAGGGATCCCCAAAACATGGAGGGAAGCCTCGTATTTATAGGGGAATGGGGAAGGGTGCTCTCCACCCTAATGGGCCAAATACGGGCCGATGTCAGGCCCAATGGCCAAAGTGGGCCAGAATGGGCCGAAATGGACCTAGCTGCTCGGGCTCCGTACTGGATAATGTCTTGGGCCCCTGAACAGTAATAGGCCGGGATAATATATCCCAACAAGCCTGATAAGCCGAAAACAGAGTTCTCCAAACGGGCTCTTAAATGATAGTTACACAGTATTATGTTAAGAGGTAACATGTGTGCATTGTTCCAAAATACTTTAATAATAAAAATGATAAATGCTTGTATATACTATGTACAATATAAAAAGAAGTCCAGCCTTTCACTCAACAGGAGTAATGAAATTGTAATTTAATGTTTTAAAGTAGGAGTATTACGTTTTGTTTTTTAAATAGGAATAATTACTTTTATGTTTAGAAAATACAGCCATTGGTGGAGTTCACTATCATATTTAAAGTATGACAATGCTCAGTATGAAAATAAACTTTTCAACAAGGAAGATAGGTACTCCTATTTTGGAATTTTACTCTTATTTTGGATAGGTACTCACTATCATATCGTATAGAACACTTATTTTGAAATTTTACATTTTTTTACTCTTGTTTGAGAATTTTCCCTATTTAATAATCCAGGTGTTACTACATACTTTACTTAAAGTTTTTGAATTACGTACTTAATTAATAATCCAAACCTTAGTTCTAACAGAGTTGGGATAGGCTGAAATGGATGAATACATGAAATCGAAGCTAAAAATACTTACTAGATTGGTATACATTTAAATTATGTAACACGTATTTTCCTTGAAGATATCCGCGTCATCTACATACATGCATGTTTGTCTTGGAAATACTCGATATGTCTCTTAGTGAGTGTTTGCAATTGCTTCTGCTTAAAAAAAAAGCACTTTTGGAGATGTAATGAAAAAGTGATTAGTAGTAAAAGTTGATAGTGTTTGAGAAAAAAGTGATTTTGAAAAATAAAAGTTGATAGTGTTTGGTAAAATAAGTGCTTTTTGTGTAATAGAAAAGGTAAAAGCACTTTTCACACGCAAGCCGAGAAAAAGTAAAAATTGGAAGTGTTTGGAAAATAAGTGCTTTTTTAAGCCAAAAGCTGAGAAGTGCTTTTTTTTAAGCTATTGCAAACACTCCCTTAATATTTGGCAAAGTTAGACTGACAAATACTACATACGAGTAATAAAGTAAAAATCGTGCTAGGGAGATAGAATTAACAGAAAACACATATTTTTTAATTAAAAGAGAAATTGACAAAGTTAGTGTAACAACCTAAAAAGGAAATGAAAAATGCTAAAGGTACCCCAATTGGTACCTCAATTTGTACCCACACCCTATTTTTGTGGCTCACAAAAGCACCTCATTAAAGTGGGACAATTCATTTATTGAGGTGGACTTTTGTGAGCCACTAAAATAGGTTGGAATACAAATTGAGGAAATTGACAAATTTTTATCATAGAGTACTACTATGTAAGGAGTTATTAGTATACATTCATAAAAACATGTGGTTTCATAGAACATATCAGTTGTGTATAGAAAATAAGAGGACTGTTTGGCCTTAAATTTTTCACAAAAGTTTTGATGAAATTTTTTGAGCATAATCTTCAGTAAGTGTAGATGATGTCCATAAAAGTTTTGATGATTTTTTTTAGCATAATTCTCATTCATTGTGGATGATATCCACAAAATTTCAACTAAAAATTCAATCAGACTTAAATAAATTAGTAAGAAACATTGCATTATATATATTCATATATAAAGCACAGTATTATTTAAGATGAAATTTTCTGGATAATAATCTATACTTCATCAAAAAAAGATGTATCACAAATTTCCATCACCAATCCGGACTGATGAGATAAAGTACACATAAAATAGACGTAAAATATTTATATAAAGTACACATAAAAACACAACTATGTTATCTAATTCTAATTAAAAATATAAGAGTGATTTTGTTTGCTTATACATTTGAGAAGTATATTATTTCAGAGATTATATAAAATTATTTGAAAAGTAAAATTTACAGCCTTTGGTGAAAAGGTAATTTTTGTATAATACAAAAATTTAAAAGCAATTTAAGTTACTTCTCCTTTGCTTTTAGCTTGTATCTTTCAGATGTTTAATTTAAGCAATTTTAATATTTTGTTTCTTAATTAATTAAGGTCATGATAGATCCTGATGCACCGAGCCCAAGTGAACCCAGCCTGAGAGAATACCTGCACTGGTACGTAATTAAAGCATTTTTGGACCACACTCCATTCTAATTATACATTATTACTTCAAATCATACTTATCTATGCCATGTACACATGTAAATATATAACAGTACACATACATACAACTAATACCACTTTGGCATGTAGTCGTTTTATATACTCAAGTTTAATTAATAACTCATGTCATTCCATGTTACATGTCTATTTTTCTTATTAAATTGTCCTATTACATTTCTTTTTGGAAAGAAATTTGTGTTCCACTTCTGCAAAAAAAAAAAAAAAAAAAGAAATTTGTGTTCCACATCATTTCACTTCATTATATTCAAATCTTAACTATAGTTTTTTTTTCAATTACTTTATTAATAATTGTGTCAAATAAAACAAGACTCGTGAAATGTAATGTTATTAACTAACTACAGGAAGCGGTCCAGCTCAGTTGGTCGCCGACTCACTTTCCCTTAGTTTTAGGCATAAAAAGTAGTATACCTTTTAGCAATATTTATATGATACTCGTATATACTATTTAGTATAAACAATTTAGCATATATACTTATTATTCTTATATATAAAAAGTTATAATTCATTAATAATGTTAAGGATCGAGTAACGGTGCGGGTACCTGCACCATTAGTGAACGGGGCGGATAACGGGGCGGATTAGGATAGAACCATAACCGCACCATTAACCATTTAAAAAATTCGGGTATTCCCTACCCCATACTCATTCCCCAGTCAAACCGATTTTCCCCAGTTTGACCAAATCGGATCGATGCGGACATCCAACGAGTGACCGAGTTATGAAATCACCAAGCACTCGGCCAGTCGGTAATTAACTTTATACTCCGTATTTTGGAACGGAATGAGTAGCTAGCTAGCTAGCTAGAGGGAGAGTACGCTCAATTATTAAGCAACTTTCCTTTTTCCCTCTTGAAAACTCAAAAACGTGTTCCCATGCAAATGCTAAATAGCTACTCCAATTGTACAATTGTTCGTACAAATGGCATACAAATTAAGAAAGCGGCTATTGGCTATTGTGTGATAGAGAATTGTGCAAAGGAGAAAAAAATGTGTAAAAAGTGATGTGAATAGTCATGTTAATGGGTCAGGTCTGGGCCTGGATTCAACCCGAATCAGGCGTTGTATTTGAGAGTATGGGTCTAAATTTAGAATTGTTTCCCGGATCCAGATTCAAACTCATTACATGAGAGAGAGAGAAAAATCGGATATGAATTTTTATGTGCCGGCCCGTTTTGGACCCAACGCATAACGATATAATTATAGTTCTAATTTCATACACACACAATATACATAGAAATATTTGAACATAAAATAAGGAAAATAATCAAAAATAAAAAATACTTTAATAATTGTAGGCTTAATTAGTGGTTAGTTCACTATAATGGGGTTTCGCCTAATGAGTTTAGGGCTCTAGGTCCTCTTGATATAAATCTCTTTCTTGTTTTAGAATTTTATTTCTATTAAGTTTGAAGATGTATAGACTGATGGGGAGAACAACAGTTTGTGTATTTATATTTGATCTCTTTCAATATGAACAAAAAAAATATTTATAATACTCCGGCCCGAAGGGTAAATAGGTCTGGATCAGGAAGAAAAATTACTCAACGAATATGAATATGGAATTCATAGTTTATGCTCATATCCGACTCATTGACAAGCCTAAATGTGAACCACAAATTCTTTATCGAAAAAGAAAAATGGAAGTTCTTTTAACACGGATGAAATATGAAAGTTTGCATTAGCACAAACAATAAGTTTAGTGTACAATTTTTGTAGCATTGGCGCAACCGCGCAAGATGAACGGGTAAAAGCAGTAACTTGTACGGAGTATAAGAGATGAACGGGCAATTAACTTGCTAGGCAGAAATTGCATGTTAGAGATGAATATAACAAATAAAAGCAATACAAAACTAACCTCACTCAAAAACTAGATACGGGATGAATCTGCGTTTAGTACCATTTCCTATTAATAAAAAAAATAGAGTTCGAGGAAACATGGAAGAAAATTGAAAGAATGATGAATGATTGAAACCTGCGGTGCCCGTGTGAAAGTAAGAATTCTTGTGTGCTGGGCTGGATCTCTAGTGCACACGGGTATAAGAACTAACCTGCCAGAAAATCTTATGGGATCAGAGTGGGAGCTTTTTTTACAGAGGGGGTGGGAGCTTTTAGGGTTGAGGACTCGAAGAAAAAAATAGACTTGGAGGAAGGATGGGGAATCTCCTCCGCTTACTAGATGAAGCACTAAAGTATAGTACGTAGTACTCCTTAATTATGAAAACCTAGCTAGCTAAATCTAGAGCTAAACAAAACAGCCCGTATGTTTGTTGTCGATACCTGATTGGTTCGCATGTACGGACACCCACCCACCTGGTGCGTATACACAAAGCACGGAGAGTTCATTTCCCCCTTTTACACGACAACTTTAGATTTCAGTTTTTCATTCTTCCCAATCAGTCAGTGAAGGAGTACCGTGTTTGAAAAACTTTTTTTTGACACCACGTGTTTGAAAAACTTAAGAGGGGATTTTCACCTTTTGGGTTAAAAATGTTACATGAATAATATCCTCTAAATTATCTTTCAAAGTACTTTTCTTGTAAGATTAAAATAATGGGTATTGTATGATATATAATTGTGTAAGAGAGAAAAATGTTTAAGAGTTATAAGAATTACTTTGAACCAAAAATTATTCACTAAATAGAAAAAGTAAAAATTATTTTGGACAAATGAAAAATAGTTAGAAGATAGTTCATGGGCAGTGGGAGCATTCCTAAATGAGAGCTTATGTTTTATACTACGTATTACTGAGTAAATATTATGCATCTAGAGTAAAATAGTAAGAGCCGCAGATGGAGGAATGATTAATATAAATTTTCAAATTTGGGAAAATTACTTTGCACCCCACTTTTTGAGAGATATTGAACTTTGCACCTCATTTTGAAAAAACTTTGATTTTGCACCTCATTCCACTTAAAATTTCTTTGACTTTGCACTTCATTTAGAAACTTTTCTTCATAAAATGGTATGTGTTGGGGTGCAAAGTCGAAATTTTTGGAAAATAAGGTGCAAAATCTAATATCAACCAAAAAGTGCGGTGCAAAGTCAAATTCCCCCAAAATATTCTTTTATCAAACAAAAAATGTTCTTTTATCAAACACTACCAACTTGATTTTAATATTAAATATTTATATTAAAATCACTATAAAAGTAGTTTTTAAGTAGAAGTGATCACAAACACTTTTATGTAGAGGTTATATATTTAATTACCCCAAATTCAAATTGTTCCAATTATTTTCAAGTAATTTCAAAAACTCACATTTCAATATTGTGCTTTGCCTATAAAAATGAAGTACAAAGATAATAAGTACTCAATTTAATACGGAGTAGTTCTCATTCTATGAGGTTCTCATACAAACCCTTCCAAATTAAATATACATAAATTATACTCCATCTAAAAAATATTGGCCAAATTTGCTTTTTTGGATGTTCCTAAATACTTTTACATTTTAATTTAAGTTAATAAATATGTAACAGAACTTGATTCTATTATTAAACGCAAATCTCAATAAAATGGTTTTTACTTTATTAGTTTATGTGCAAGTCAATTTCAGCTATAAATTATCGGACGATGGGGGTAACAATATATACCTTGAAATTTCAAAAACCCTTTCATTATATACTTCCTCCATTTTTTAAAACATTGATATCTTTCCTTTATTTATTGTTCCAAAATTTTATCACACAATTTTTAATCACATAAATTTTAATCACATAATTTTTATTCTATTATAATTCGTGTCGGTCAAACTTGACAAAAAATTTGAAGGAAAGAGGAATACTTTTGTATGCTCAAAATAGATAAAAAGGTTACATTACTTTATAAAATGTAAAGTAATATTAAAACCCATAGAAACGGGTTATACTTCAAGTGGACCTTTACATTTAAATTAGGAAAAGTTCCCGAAATAGGACTAAAACAATTTGAAAATTTCAAAATAGGATTGTCATGTTTTTATTCTCAAAATATGAGTAATTACTGTCAAGTTTGGAAAATACTGCCATGTTTGAAGTTTGGTACTGCCAAAATATGGCAGTAATGAGTCCTATTTTGGGAATAGAAACATGGCAGTCCTGTTTTGGAATTTTCAAACCTTTTTAATTCTATTTCGGGTAATATCTCTTTAATTTAAGGAAATTGTTTCAAACAAGAGTAAAACATGATCAAAATTTAACAAAGAGAACTCATCATGTTTTATTTCTAAAAAAGAATTGGATGTACTTAGTCCGGCCAAATAAAACAATGAAACAATTTTAAATTTCACCTTTGGAGAGTAAACACATATGATTTTAGGAAGAAAATAATTATGGTTTGTGTGAAAGTGCACCTATTTTAGGAATTTCGAACCAAATGCATAATTATTTTATTTGTATGTAAAGAACCTATTGATATGTACTCCGTATAAAATTCTGCCGTAATCAACCACTAGCACATACTCCGTATTACATAATTTAAATGTTGCATTTAAAATTATTGTAAATTAGGGTGAAGGTCAAACTAATACGGAGTATAAAAGGCAATAGTATGTTTTACAATGAATAGATCAAAATGTAATACGGGACCTACATTCTCATACGTAGTAATTAATATGTTTTACAATTTTTGTGTAAATGAAGTAATGTTGGTGAATATTTGATTATTTCAAGACAAATCGAGGCCTCAAAGTCTATAATAGAAAATACAATAGTTTAGGACTTTAGGTACCAGTTCATTGAGTATATACTTTTCAGGCTCAAATCATGTCTAGAATACTACGAGAGTACGAGTAATACTCAGCATCTCATAACACCTTTAAAAAAACATCTCAGTACAAAATTCCAATTTTGAATTCACAAGTTTTTAGTAAAAAAAATCCTATTTAATTTTCAATTATGCCCATCCTTAAAAAGTAAAAACGGAAAATTAATAATTAATGATGTACTACGGAGTATGTGCTAGGAAAACTTCATGGGGATAACAGTGTAGTTTACCACTCAAAATTTCCAAAAGGATAACTAGAACCCAATTTAGAGTCTGAAAACGAAAGAGGAAATTCAATTGCCGGATGGAAGGAGTATAAAATTAAGAATACATATTTAACACTAATATTGGCTGAGTTTGCTCCAATTAAGTCTAGTTTGATCTAATAGTGAAACCAATAATCAAACTAAAAAATCGTACATCACTCAAGTGAATTTTAATTTTAATAAATGTAGACTAAGTAAATTTGAGCAGACTTAAGTGAATTCAGGTGCATATATTAAGTGAACCAGCAAATTACAATCCAAGAAAAAAAATACTTAATCGAAATGAATGTAGTAAACATTAATATACTTGATCATTTGGATGATGTTTTAGTAAAATAAAACATATTAAATTAAAAATACTTAAAGAACTGTTAAGATCCAGGGTTCCATGCTAATAGATTAACCTGTTAAGAGGAGTAGCTCAAATCTTAATATAGTGTTTAATTCCTTAAGAGATATTCGGTGTAGGACTTTAACACCCCTCCGCACGATCAAACACTTTGTTTAGATCATGTCATCATTCATTTTTTTCATCGGTTCGTCATTGTCATTTTTTATAATCATGTCATCATTTTTCATAAGGGGACTGACACCATGGATCAATTTGGCTCTAATACTATGTTAAAACCTAAAGTTTCATTCCAAAAGGTCAACCTGATAGGAGGAGGAGTCCAAAGCCTTATATTGTTTTATAGCTTTCCGATGTGGAACAAATACTTTACCGCGCCCCCTCAGCCCGAACCGGGCTTGACAATATCCGGGTGTATAAATGGACCAAACACCCGTAAGCAAGCGACCCTTAATCATGGGTGCTAAACAAGCAGTCAAACCACAACCGGAATTGGCTTTGATAGCATGTTAAACCCGGGGTTCTATCCTAAAAAATCAATCTGTCAGGAGTAGCTCAGATCTTAATATAGTGTTTAGTTCCTTCAAAGATATCGGTATGGGACTTTAACAAGAACACTTGGGGAAGTTAAATGATAATCAAATAAGGTACAATTTAAATTAACCCCAACAGAATACTAATCAATCCCAAACAAAATGGTTCAAAAGGAAGTACGTAATAGAAATAACTAAAACGTCAAAGGTTGTTTGATAACACTGAAATCGGTTGAATTGACTGAACCAGTTGAAAATGATTAGTGTTGGATGAAAACAAGTTATCAATGCATACTCCGTATAAGATATGGACTAGAATGGACTAGGGGTGGGAAAAACCGACCCAAAACCCGATAACCGAACCGACCCAACCCGATATATGATATTGGTCCGGGTTTTATTTTAAAAATGACCGGTCCGGGTTGAAATACCCGACCCGAACCCGAAAACTCGGGTCCTAATTCGGGTTCTAAAATTTTAAACCCGACCCGGACCGAAAAAGACCCGATTTAATTAAGAAACTAAATTATATATATATATTTTATATAAAATATGTATGACCTATTAATACACCATACCGATTTATATATATGTGTGTGTGATACGTACGGACTATTTTATACTACATTCGTCCCAAATTGATTTGTAAAAATGACTTTTTTACTCAAACAATTTTATTTTATTCACTTAATTTGGATGTCAATTTTTAATTATATTTAACTTGGGGTTTGCAACTTTGAATATATTTTAATGTAATTTGTTAATATGTAAATTTTAATTATAAAAAATTGAATGATGTATCAATGATGTATCAATTTGTTATTAAAATTATAAACTTTAACATTGGTTGACCAAAAAATCTTGACTTTGTAAATCAATTTGGGACGGAGGGAATGTTACTTTGCTTTCGAACCAATTGTTCTTCTACAACATTTTCTATCGTGTGATTTTTATATTCAAAATATACTGCTTTGATTTTAATATACTACGTATATTTTTTTGATTAAAAGTTTAGATGTTTGCAATTTTTGTTGTAATTGTATTTTAATTGTGTTTAGATATATCCAGTTCGATTTTATTGCGGGTTCAATATGACCCGACTCGAACCCAACCCGAACCCGAGGCTCTTAAAACCCGGACCAACCCGAAAGTATTGGTCCGCCGATCGGGTCCAAAAATGTAGAACCTGAAGCTTTTCGGGTTTTATACGGTCCTAGCAAAAACCCGACCCAACCCGACCCGATCTCACCCCTAGAATGGACGGGGACAGAGCAAGGCTTCGGGCCGGGACTAGACGGGACTGGGCGGGACTGATACTAAAAATTTCAGGCCTGGTACCGGCCCGGGTTTGTACCGGGACCGGGACAGGATGGGCCTGTGAAATAAATTAAAAAAAATAGTGCAATCGGGCCCAAGACCAGTCGGGTCGGGCCTAAAAAAGCGAGCCTGAAGCCCCCCTATAGCCACCGGGACGAGACCGGGCCGGGCTCCGGACCCAAAGGGGACCGGGTGGGGCCTAAACAGTGTCGGGCCCGGTCCCGGGCCGGCCTGACGCGTCCCAGTCCATCCCTAATATAGACATAATCCAAGGATTTTAGCTATTATTCATAATTATAAGGTTTTTAGATTAGATAAGGTTTTTAAATTATAATGTTTTTAGATGAGAGCATATTCAATGCTACAATGTGCACATGTGGCATGAGAGATAACCACATAAGTATTAGCAAATAAATTATCCCTCTCCTTATTTGAATGATTTTATACAATCTTGGTAAATTTTTCTTAGCAATGTCAACCATAATGTCAACATCTAGATGATCTTCTTGACATTATGGAGAAAAAGTTACCAAAATTGTATAAAACCTTTCAAATAAGGAGAGATATAATTCATTTGCCAATATTTGTGTGGCTATTTATCATGCCACATGTGCACCGTGCACATCGTAGCATTAGAGATGCTGTCAAGCAATAATAAATGTACAGTGTCAAACAGCACACAGCAATAACATTTCACTTCCGGTAAAAAGTCATTTATGGAAGTCAAAAACAAACTATGTCAAGTTTAAATTATGAACTTACTTAAAATGACAAAGATAATATACATCGTACCTCTATCTCATAAAATTATTCTTGGTTTGACTAGAATCGAAATTTAAGAAAGCGAAAATGTAGATTTGTAATTGAATAAGAAAAGGTAAATGAATGTTAGTTATACACAATTTTCTAAAAAAGCAATGGGTAGAATTTTCTGAATTGGAAGGAATTATAACGAATATATGCACATTAGCATATATATATATATATATATATATATATATATATATGTGTGTGTGTGTGTGTATATATATGTGTGTGTATATATGTGTGTGTATATATATATATGTGTATGTATATATATATATGTGTGTGTGTGTGTGTGTGTATATATATATATATGTATATATGTGTGTGTGTGTGTGTGTGTATATATATATATATATACTCAGGTCCATCCGGAGGGACGGGAGGCTCCGTCCGAACTTTACTGTTTAAGACGGTTCCCGGTGGAATTTTTTGATGAAATTTTTTGAGCATGTTCCTCATCAAGTCTAGTTTATCCATACCAAATTTCAGCTCATAATTCGATCGGGAAGACATTCAAATAAATTCTTAAAACATACTGCACATTCTGCGCACATATTCCGGACCAGTTAACTTGCAAAAATCATTTGACGACCTTCCCGATTGAATTTTTGGCTGAAATTTGGTATGGATAAACTAGACTTGATGAGGAACATGCTCAAAAATTTGAGCAAAAAATACCTCCGGGAAGGCTCCCAAATGGAGGAGGCCGGACGGCCCTCCTCTCCGGAAATTCCGGACAAGAATATTCCTGCACATTCCGAACTTCACTGTTTGGGGCGGTTCCCGATGGAATTTTTCGATGAATTTTTTTGAGCATGTTCCTCATCAAGTCTAGTTTGTCCATACCAAATTTCAGCTAAAAATTCGACCGGGAAGGCAGTCAAATAAATTCTTGAAGCTTACTGCACATTCTGCGCATATGTAAAGTGCAGTAAGTTTCAAGAATTTATTTGACTGCCTTCCCGGTCGAATTTTGAGCTGAAATTTGGTATGGACAAACTAGACTTGATGAGGAACATGCTCAAAAAATTTCATCGAAAAATTCCACCGGAAACCGCCCCAAACAGTGAAGTTCGGACGGCTGCTCCCGTCCCTCCGACTGGACCTGAGCAGTCCTCTATATATATATTCTCTTTCTTTTATGTATTTCATATATACTCTGTTCACACTTATAGAGCACAATAAATGATATACACGTCCGAGAAGGTGAGCAACCAGCTATTGCGTGTAAGCGCATAATAGCAATCAACTCTTAACCATGCAAAACAAATTTGAAAACAAATTTCAATGTCTAAATAATTAGGGTGGAGACCGAGAGAGTCGAGAGGTGCCTCTGCCCCTTCAAAAAATATTTGTTATGTGTATACATATATATATAAATATTTATAAACATTAAAAACTATAGTGAAATTTTAAACTTTTACTCCCAATATAAATTCTCCGAACCCCCATTTCTAGCTCCGCCAATCTGCCACAGTAAATAATTATATTAATGCAAAAAAGGTAGGGTAGGGAGGCCGGCCATTTGGGATGAATAAACTGATATGTTAACTGTAAATTCCCATGTTGAGCTATATGCTTATATCATATTGATTTCCTATTTCCTAAAAGATTTGTATGGGTTTTGTTTATCGTTTTTCCCTGTGAAATATTGATACATGTTTTTAACTGTCGGGCATCCATAGGTTGGTAACTGACATTCCAGCGACGACTGGAGCTAATTTTGGTGAGTACCGTTACTTTCATACTTTCTGAGGTCATTTTATTTTTCAAAATTACGAAGTATATATGAGAGTTCACTTGCAAATCAAATCAAGCATGCATTTTGCTGATTTATTAATGAATTAATTTAGCATATAAATTAAGTTGGTCGTTTGTGCAAGTCGACTATTGATCATCAATTACATAACCCAATATTCCCTCTATTTGTGAATTATCTTTCAAACTTCTTTTTTTGCCCGTCCCAAAATAACCTTGTTTTCCCCTTATTGACAAAATATTTCTTAATCCCGTGCAAAACGTACTTTGAAAGATACTTTAGGGATGGAGGGAGTATGCTACTTTCATTTTACAAACAAAGAAATGTTTACTTCACAAATCAATAAACGATGTTTATTCAAACATGTTTTACAAGTTATAACTCCATTGTTTAATACTACGTACTACGTACTACGTAAAAGATACTTAATAAAAATAAGTTTACAATTTACTTCACAAGATCAACACATTTATTAACACATAGTTTAACTTTAAAATGTCAATTACAATCTTTAAAGATCTTACCTCTCACTACAGTTCTCACCCCACCCCTACTTTGTATATCACTTCCAACTACCTACAACAACCCTTACTACCCAATACTCCAAACCTCAAAGCCCAAATTTCCCTACCCCATGGTTACGAAGGGCAGCCCTACCTCACCACAATACCTACCCCACCCCTATGTCCAATCACTCCAATCCTTTTGGGGTACGGTGGGGGTAGGGTAGTGGTAAAGGGTGGAGTAGTGGCAAGGGGTGGGAGTAGGAGTATAAGGGGGTTAGGAGAAGGGAGTAGAGTGGCGAATGGTGTATTGGAAAGGGGTGGGGTAAATGGTGTACGGGGTGAGGATGGAGAGTATGTAGGGTTTGGGTGTAAGGGGTAGAATAGGGTACTCAGGGTGGGTAAATGGGGTTGGGTAATAGGGGGTTGGGTGCGGGTTGGTATGGGGCAGGGATAGGTGGTAGGGTAGGTAGTAGGGTGGGTTTGAGGTAGTTAGTGTGGTATAGAGGTATAATAGCGATGCACCGACAACTTTCATTATGTGATAGAGTGGTGTATACTATTACACTTGTTAATGTGAACAAATCTTAACATTTTGCTTACTAAAACTTGGGGAGTGGGGTGCTTATTACTACGAACATTATGAACGTGTTTACTTCGCTACTAAAATCACCATTATATTAGTAAGACACGTGAAGCAACACACAGGCTGCTTATGAAGTTACTTACTAGCCAAAACAAGTGCTTAAAGTTACACTTACTGAACATACCACCTATCATGTACGTAGTATTAATTAAGCGGCAGTTTAAACTTTTTCAGTTTCTGCGTTTACCCTTTCCCTCACTTCTTGCCCTTGCCCTTACAATTACCCTCACCCACCCGTTCCTCGTACCCCTACCCCTTCCATTACCCTTACACATACCTTACCCTTACACCCACCACCATACCACTAGGAGAGGGGTAGGATAAGAGTATATGGCACGGATAGGGGTAGGGGTAAAGGATAACGGGTGTGGGTATGCGTAGGGGTAGGGATATAGGTAGAGGGTCGGGGTAAGGTGGGTCGAGGTAGGGGTAGGGATAAGAGTACGCGTACGGGTAGGGGTAGGGGGTAGGCCTCCACATATTATATATACTTGTGTAAGCAGTAATGCTTGTGTGCCTATATATGTATATAGAGTTATTTTGGACATTTTAATGTTAACCGGTGTTTTTAATCCTGTGAAGTAAACATGAGCTTATAATACTATGTGCTATTTATTTTAGTCACTGCTTATTAACGCAAGACGCAAGTGTTAATAAACACTGCTTAGTATCCTATGAAGTAAACATGTCTCAAGTCATAAAAGGTGTTTGCTAAATAGATATTTATTCAAAACAATGTTTTTTTCCTCTATTTTAATAAGTCAATAGTGAAATTAACTGAAAAGTAAACATGTGCTAAGGATGTTGTTAATAGAATAGATTTCAACCTCCCAAATTAAAGTTGATCATACTTTGATAGTTGTAAGATACACATGGAACTGACATCTTTCGATTAGATCAGACAAAACATAAAGATTACAGTATAATTAAAAACATCATATTAATTTTCATGATCTTCAAAGTCAACATTAGACAATTAATATCTAAGAATATGTATATATTAAAAAAAAACTTTCAATATTCAATAATCAATAATATATACTAAAATAAAGTATTGAAAACTATTTCAAGGTCACAAAGTAAAACAGAAAACTATCAAATAGGAAGGAGAGAGGGAGAGAGGGGGAGGAAATTGAAAGGAAAGGAAGGGGGAAAACGAAAAAAAGGAAGAGGAAATAAATGCCATGCGGTTGATAACTCGGAAACCTGATTCCATCCGGCTAAAACACTCAACTTACCATTTTTTTAGAAGCTCGAGAGTTCAATGGGATGTTTTTTAAGTATGAGGGTCTAATAATCATTTTTGCTATAGTAACGGTCTACATGATAGTTATCCCTAAAGTAAAAAGATATTGTAAAAAATTAAGTTCAAAGTTAATCACATTTGACTTGTAAAAATGTGAACTTAATTGTTAGGCGGAGGAACTACAAGTGCTATTAAATTAAATATATTTAACTTTGCAACATACTTCGTATATACCTTATCAAGGTGTCCATAAGGACACCTTCAAGACATATGCACTAAGCCTCCTGATTTAAATGTCCAAAATTTTGATTTAAATGTCCAGAATTTTGATTTAAATGTCCAAAATTTTAAAACAAGTTAGATAATGCTGAAATTGATTGAATTTGTTCAACCGATAAATCAAAAATGATGAAACAAAAATGATAGAGAAGATTTTTAATTAAAAGATTTGCTTTCATTTGCAAAACTAAACCCGTTGGAATCAGACTTCGCCGGCTCAAAAATTACCGGTGACCGGCTATGAAAATTCCCAGGTGTAGTCTCATACCTGTTTTGCTGGAAGAATCTCCTCTGGTAAGGCCTATTGAAGCCGGTGTCTTCTTAGCTTGCTAGATGATACCTTTCCATGTTGCAGTCTCGCCGGAGCAGAGAAGTATATTCGGCCGTCGCGTACTGACGTACATCTGGGTGACGCCGTCGTTGGGCCCTCGCGTACGGCCGTCGGACTCGCCGTCGCAGGAGGTCCCCCGGTGAAGCAACGCCGCTGTAAGAGCCCCGTCGTCAATGCAAGGTCTTCTTGTTCGCAGTGGAGAAGTCCCAGATCTGCTTGGGATCAACCTGAACAGTGATGGACCCAAAATATAGAACAGTACCTTGTTTCGCACGATCTGCCAAGGCCTGGAGCTGTTGCGCAGCTTCGCTTTTTAAGGCTGCTTCTGGGTCCCTGCGTCCGTCGGTGTACGTGGCACCGGAGCCGCCGGCCGTCCCAAGAATCGCCAAGAGGCACCGGAGTATTTAAGATATACTCCGTACATATTTGACCTAAAAATGACTCAAAGTAACATGTTCGACAAAAATGAGATATATATACTCGATAACTATATTAATCACCTTTAGCAAATATAAATATGTAAACTTTTATAGGGTTCCGTAGAATGTCTTTTACTCAAGTACTACTTCCATCCCTTTTTATTTTTATTAGCACGTAAGAAGGTGACACGAGTTTTAAGAAAAGTGAGTTTGTGTGGTTGATATCAATTGATAAAGTAAAAATAAATTAAGGTGATTTTGAGACACACAAATTTTACCAAATAAAGTATGAGACAATTAAATAGAAACATCCCAATATGGTAAAAACGGAACATTTAAAAAGGGACGGAGGAAGCACTACCTAACATTTCACGGAAAAGTTTATATATATGTGCTGATTTTTTTTGGGTGGTGGGGAAATATATGTGTTGATAAATTTGAAAGGGTTTAATGTGTAGTAAAATTAAATTTATGAAGGTTAAATGAGCTAAAAAGAACTGGACAGTTCAACAATTTTCCGATGAAAGGCAGAGTTGTGGTGGTAGAATTCCTATTCGACGGCAAATATGCATTTAATTATGTGTGGTGTGGTATAATGGGAGTAAATGGAGAGGCAGGGAGACAAAAGTTTTTAAGAGGTCAACTCAATACTTTTACATCACTTTCATTCCAATTTAATCCAATCCAAGGATAGATAAAGATATCTAAAAATGGTTACTTCCTCAGATTATTATATTTGATTGTTGTGGTAATAAAATGAGTTATTGCTTAACTTACAGGACAAGAAATAGTGCGGTATGAGAGCCCACAGCCATTTATTGGGATCCACCGCTTCGTGTTTGTGCTGTTCCAGCAGCTGGGCAGGCAGACCGTTTATGCCCCGGGCTGGCGCCAGAGCTTCCGCACTCGAGAATTCGCCGAGCTCTACAACCTCGGCTCCCCGGTCGCTGCCGTCTACTTCAACGGTCAACGGGAGACCGGCACCGGAGGCCGACGCCGTTAGTTCATTCGCAATACATTATCGTAATAATAATTATTATTATTAATAATAGATGGCCGACGCGATTGTTTGAAGATTGTGTATTATGTGAGATCAAATATGAGTATATCCTCTTCCGTCGTCATAATTAATCACTAAGTAGCGACTGTGGGGTACAGTTATCTTCTATCGACTCTGTCTCATTCTACGCTAATAGACGCAATACTACTACAATAATTATTGTAATTATTGGTACGTAATAACTTTGTTACTTCAATTCCAAACACTTGGCTTCCCATTCAATACTGCACTTCACATTTGTTCAATTCCCACACCGAATTAAAGCATTAGGTTAAAGAATTGGTATAAAAATCTAATAATAAAAGAATATAATTAAACAAACTTTTAAAAATGAAAAAATAGAGAAATTTGATTTTTAGAATTAAGATAGCAAAAAAATAAAATACAATAGATTTTCATGAAAAAATCAAGAATAAAGCTTTAAATCGTAAAAATTGTAATCAGTGTTTACTTTTTAAAAACACAGAATGTAAAATTGAATAAAGGAAAATAATACAACTGGCCTTGGAAAAATAAATTGGAGAAAAGAAAAAACATAGTGAAAATAAATCAAAAATTGACTAAATATATCTTATTTAACTTTGGTACATTTTTAAAATTTTCATAATTATTTTTACATGTTTAAAAATATTTAGTTTTGCAATTTATAAAAACATTTCTATATTTTTCGAAAATTGAGAGTTGATAATTGGGATTAATAAAAGAAGATCGATTATAGTTGGGATTATTTTTGGCTTACACATAGTTCACATTTAAATTTGACCTACGGCTATACCAGATTGTAACAGGTTAGAGACTATTTTTGGAAAATGGTCCATACGGTTAGGACCATTCATGAATAATCGATAATTAAGATTATTAATAGTGGATCGGCAATAGTTGAGATTATTAGTTTCAATTTTTTCAAAATAAAAAGGCTGAACAATGGATGGTTGTTTGAATTGAAGAAAATTATAGATCACGGCAACCAAATAAATTGAGATAACAAAAATACTCCGTACAACGTAATGAGGTTATAAGGGAAAACATATCACAAATGCACACAAGGGAAACATATGATCAATAAAAAGTCACTTTCACGATGTTCTCACTCCAACTACTTTTAAACCTGTTGTCACTTGTCAAAAAAAAACTTTTAAACCCAATCTTACCCAATTTTAGTAAGTACTCCGTACTATGTACCTAGTACTCCCTCCGTAACATTCATATCTTCCCACTTTCCTTTTTTGGACGTAACATTTATATCTTCCCATTTCTAAATCTTCCCATCATACCCTCAATAATTTAAAAAATAATACACTACTACACCTACTTTTTTTGGATTTATCCTTCATTCCATCACATTATTTCAACATCTTCCCATCATACCCTCAATAATTCATACTCCATTTCACTATTCTTAATCTCACCCACTTTGGAAGTGGGAAGATATATCTGATACGGAGGGAGTATATCATACTAGTACTAAAATACACTTTGAAAGGGCAGAATTTTCACCAATCGGAGATATCCATATTTTTTTTATTTTTCAATGGCTTTTTACTCTTTTTATTAATTTGTTTAAAAAAACTCAAAAAATAATTTGCCAACATTTTTAGTAATGCAATAAATCCATAATAATGACAGATTGAATGAGAATTTCGGCACTATGAAGAGTAATAGTGCCATTTTCTTGGCATTTTCGGGAAAAATGGAATTTTTTGTAAAAATGGCGGAAGTTTTACCGATCAAAGGTGATGGTGGTGCTGGGAGGCGGTGGGAAAAGTATCCATATTTTTTTAATGGGGTTTTACTATTTTTTATTATTTTCTTAAAATAAAAAATTAAAAAAATATTTTTAACTTTTTATTTTAAAAATATTTTTTTATTTTTTATTATTTTTGTACGATTTTTTTTAAGATTTTATTATGAATTATAACATTTCATTATGAAATGATACCCTTAGGAGCATTTCTGGTTGGAATCAATTGTTTAGTCCTATTTGGGATAGTTAAAATGTAGTAGTCCTATTTGTGCATTTTAGGTAATTTTTAGTCTTATCTAGAGCAATTACTAAGTCAAAATTTAAATGACATTTATGTGGGGGTCACTAGTCACTAACATACTCTCATGCAGCACTATTATGAATCGCCCATATATAAGTTGCCGATAAATAAGTTTTAAGGGTCTCTTTGCAAGAGTTTAAAAAAATGTTTCTCGGCTTTTGGGTTATAAAATGTTAAAATTAGAGTTTTCGAGTGACAACTTCTACTTAAAAAGCGTTTCTCGACTTTTTGCCAAAAAATGCTATTTTTCCATTTTCTATTACACAAAAGACACATATTTTACCAAATACTACCGACATTTACTTTTCAAAATCACTTTTTTCCCAAAAATTTATCAACTTTTACTAATGATCGATTTTTTCAAAATCACTTCAAAAGGTGTTTTTCAAAGAAAAAGCATTTGCAATGTCTTGGAACATCTATAGTAGGGGTGGGCAAAAATACCGCACTTACCTTACCGAAAAATACCGGAAAATACCGAAATATTGGTATACCGTCATTTTCGGTACGGTATCATACCGTACAGATCTATTTCGGTACGGTAACGGTAAATGTTTTCAAATATCGCGGTATACCGGTATGATACCATACCGACTCCCTACTCAACAATGACTTTTAATTCTAATATATTGTAAAAATTCATTACAATTTTGAAACGCAAAATTAATACTTAAGTTGGTTACAAATACAAAAATAAAGGCTCAATTTCTCAAACTCACTATAACTTTATAGGCTTCTACTACGCTAACCTTAATGACTAATGAGTAATGTACAAATGTCAAGAAACAAGTCCATCTTGTTCCAAGAGTTCGCAAGTCATGATGGCTGGACTGCTAAGTAGTTGACGAGTGAAGAGAGATACACTTATGTGACAAGTGTATCTACATGGGGATTCTGCGAGTCGAGACACACAACTTTGTCTGAAAGTTTTATTCAATTTTTAAAAAATTATAAAAAATAACTAAATACACAATATCATATTAGGAATAAATAATTTTATATCCATGTTGTTTGAATATTTTTATTTATTTTTGTTAGAGATCACTAGAATGTGTTACATTTTAATATGTGGCATGTTGAACTGCTTAAATATATTAATAATAATTATTGTTCAATATTGAATTGACATCAATACATTATTAATTGTATTTCGTAACAGTTTAATATTAGATTTAATATGTCGCTAGTAATAACGATTTACTATGTTTCGTTAGTCTATGATAATTTTTTGTAATGGGAGACATGCACGGCAATTTACCGATACCGTACCGTCACCGAACCGAAACTTTGGTATACCGAAATTCGGTATTTCGGTATACCAAACTTCAGTAAGGTAAAGGTATGCAAATTTTGCATAACGAAAGTTTTGATACGACAAAGGGATGAGAAAAACTATATGATATACCGTACTGAACCACCCCTAATCTATAGTGTCACTATAAGCAAATACTTTTCTAGTAGTATGATATGAAAAAGTTATTTGTCAAAAATACTATTAGAAAGGTATGAAATTATTGAATTTTGTATAAATGTATTAGTTAAATAGTTGGTCAAAATTTTACATATTTGACTGAAAAAATCAGATTAACTAAAATGAGACGTAGAGTCGTAGACAGTAACCATTATTTAAGGATATAAACCATTATAAATAAGATCTGAACATAATCGAAGGATATTAACCATTACTTTAGTCTAGCTATCCACCTCAAGCAATAATAAATGCAGTTTCGAACAGCACATACAACAATAACATTTTTTTTCTTTTTTTTTTAAATGAAATTATATTTAAACGAAACTTGAAAGTACTAGGAAGGGGAACAGCAATAACATTTAACTTTGGTAAAGTCATTTATGGAAGTAAAAAACACTTGAACTATGTCAAGCTCAAATCATGAACTTCAAATGATAAAGATAATATATTGCACCCTCTTCGTTTCATAAAGATTTTCCGACTATGATCGGAGTTTAAGAAAATGAGGAATAAAGTGAAAAAATATGATTGCGATTGAATAAGAATAGGTAAATTAATGTTAGTCAAACAAATTTTTCAAATAGGAAATGTGAAGAGTTTTTTGGGATATCAAAAAAGATAAGCGGAAATAATTTTGTGAGACAGAAAGAGCAGGGTATGAAGGCATTTTGGCAAGCCATATGTCTCTATATTTTAAAATTTTATACTTCCTATTTGAGAGATTTGCGATTTTAGTCCTGTATTTTTGGTTGTCCCCATTATTAGTGCAATAACTCAACTCACATGCAAATTAGGTGCTCTTACTAAGAGGTCTTTGTAGTTTAAAGAATTTTCCACTTGAAAGTGCACTTTCTAGCAAAAAAAAATTGACATTGGCTACATACTTTGTGGTGAATTATCTGTAAGAAGTGTACTTCCCCACCGGGAAGTACTTGATCGAAAAAAATTATTAATTACCTGACCAAATTTACGAGCAAGTGAAATATCATAATAAAAACGGGCACGGAGTAAATTCATGGGACTAAAACATAGTTTAACTTCAAAAATGTTCATTATAATCTTCAAAGATCTTACCCCCTCCATACTACCATTCTCACCCCACCCCTACCTCCTACCCCACTTCCCACTAGCTACCTACAACAACCCTTACTACCCAGTACCCCACCTAGAAGCCCAAAATTCCCTAGCCCAACTCACCCCACACTCATGCCCAATCCCATCGGCCAACCCCTACCTCACCACATTACCTACCCCACCCCTATGTCCACCACAATCATTTAGGGTACGGTGGGGTTAGGGTAATGGTAGAGGGTGGAGAAGTGAAAGTTAAGAGGTGGAGGTATGAGTATAAGGGGGTTAGGAGTAGAGAGTATAGGTATGGGTAGGGTCGAGGCCGAGGTGGGGTCGAGGTAGGGGTAGGTGGTATGGGGTAAAGGGGTAGGGGTAGGAGGATGTGGGTAACGGGGTAGGGATGGGGTAGGGGTAGGGTCGATGTAAGGGCAGGTGGTAGGGGGTAAAGGGGTGAGGAAGGGGTACGGGTAATGGGTAGGCTTGGTCGGGGTGGGGTCAAGGTAGCGGAAAGTGGTGGGGTGTAAAGGGGTAGGGTAAGAGGGGGTTGGGTGGGGTAAGGGTATGCTCGGGGGTAGGGGTGGTGGGGTTGGGTTGGGGTGGGGTCAAGGTAGGGACAGGTGGTAGAGGTTAAAGAG